TAGGACTCTGGTCCTATTTCGTTGGTCTTCGGGATTGGAGTAATGATTAATAGAGACGGTTGGGGGCATTCGTATTCCATTGTCAGAGGTGAAATTCTTGGATTTATGGATGACGAACTTCTGCGAAAGCATTTGCCAAGGACGTTCTCATTAATCAAGAACGAAAGTCATCTGTTTTGAGACCCAATTGCTACTCAAATTCGATTGTGTATTCTGATATCGTGTGTTCTTTTGGGTGCCTCCTGATTCCGCAGCCAGTCCCTCGGGTCAAAACTGATGTAATGGTCTAACTTTACCAAATCGGTAAAAAGAGGACCACTATACCTGCATCTCACTTGAAATGAACCCGAACTTGGTCACAATGGCACCAGAGTACTCCAAAGCACTCTAGTGTACTCTACAGTAGTACCCAGAGTACTGGTCTGAGTATTGGTAAGCTAGAATACCCTCGTGACTCAAACATTCGCGATTATTTTGTTCGTATCACATCATTTGGGTGGGTACTGCAGGGTGCATCATCCTGTCAGAGCCCAATTTACCTTTCTGCTCTGCTGCAAGGAGTTCCTCCTTAGCAACAATTGGTGTGAGCCCCTTCAAAGCCCGTGCAGCCTCACTAGCACTCAATCCATTCTTCTTTCCCTCCGGTGTTGTGACCAGCTCCAGCAGTTGGGCGAAAATCTGCAGAACAATGACAAGCCGCAGTAAGCACTCCAAAAAAAAATATTGAGTCGTTGGCTGCTGTCCAAAGAAATTCGCTGATGATCATATGCACTCTCATTGTTCTCCACAGATATGGGTAATTTTCCATGTCCCACTTTGAAGTCCCATTTTCTTTTCTCAAACCACAAGCCCAGTCTTTCCCCAGTATATCAACTCAATGGGTGCAATGTTCACCACGCCTTAATGGAGAGTGCGGTACCTACACTCCCGGCTGCGATGACAGCACATTTGCATGCTTGAAAACAGACCAAAAGGGGGACAGGCAGGGAGAGGAAAGACAGCAAAGGAAGACAAAACGGAAGGAAAGGTGTGGACTACCATCTTCATACAAAGAGAATGGCTTCTCGTTATCGCTGTATCTAGACTGAAAGTTGCACCAATACAGCTGTTGTACCCTGGCATTTTCTTCAGGTGAAGATGGTAGGGAAGGATAAATGAAGACTCAAGAGTCAGTCTGTCCTCAGTGACAGAGAGGACGCACGGTAGGGAAAGAATGGGTGATGGCCTCAAAGACCTAGCTGAGAAGTCTCACGATAAAGGTCAGCACGACAGTTGGCATCAGTCATGACCACAAAACACCTGGCAAATGACATGTCGCTCCCAGGGCACGACGAACAGAGGAGCATGCATTCATAGTTCATAGTAACGTCCCTGCCCATAAGATCGACATGTGATGCCAGGGTGTGGAAGGTGCGCACAGTAGGGAAAGGCGTGGCAGCCACCTGCACATGTCACTGCAGAAACCATGGCATTGTCTTAATTCTAGTAGAGACAATGACGCTTACAGGTGAGTGTAACAGTATCTGTAGCCTGCCAGACGAAACGATCACAGAGTCTTGACATACTGTCCTTCTCCACAACAGGGGCAGAAAAGTGTAGTGGACATAGAAGAGTCCGCACACGGTTTGCTCAGGCAAGAAAACATCATCATTTTAAAAGCAATTGTCACTATCAGTCGTGGTACAATGGCCACGTGACGACCAGGTCCATGTGCAATGCAGGCAGAGATGTCAGAAAATGATTAAAGCACTCATCGGTCCGAGCTTGTCACAGCTCAAGTAGCTGGTCCCTCATTGGAACCTGCAGGACTTCAATTGGACGGCCTCCTTCCCTGGTATAGCTACTATCTTCTGCCTCTACGCCGGGAAGGTGCAAATGTTATGAATCCTCATACCTCGTTGTCATCCTGCCAAATACCAGCCATCCATGTACCTGCCCAGCATAACTCAAATTGCAACAGTAACCAACCGACTCTAATCACTAATGGGATGCACACTTAGATTACAGTAGAAGCAAAATTAAACCCACCACTGCCCCTCCCTCCAACCTCCTCAACCCCATCCACAAGTTATCATCACTGTCCAGTTCTTTCCAAATTTCATCTCCACTGCGGAACAACAACCAGTAACCGCTCGAGAATAGTGTTTGAGTCTCTTTCCTCCTCGTCTCCATCATGTCCATACACCATAGCCTCCTCCTGGGTGGCATCTGCCATGTAACAGGTGCTTGCTGACTTTCGACCCCTGATGGGTTACCCCTATGCTCCCTCGCTGTCCCCAATGGCTACCACTAGTCTCTATGCACCATAGCCTCGTAGCAGGTAGCGGCATGCAGCGCAAGTGCTCATGAGCCTTCCAAGAAGGCAGCAGTCCAACAGTTAGAAGTGACTTCCTAGAGTCAGTGCTCAGCCAGCCCAGCAGTCTTCCACCCGAATGATCCCTTGACTGGACCAGTGGCTGACTTTTAGAATGCGGACCAGCCAATTCTTCCGTCTACTGGGATCGGTCCAAGCCAAAGGCTGGGCCCTGTAACGATCTGCAAAATCACAGACTGAAAGACCAGATGTTTTCTGAGCTTGACCGCCGGACTGAGTGACTTGCTGAGATTTCTAAATACCTGTGAGAGCATGATTGCTGCGTTTCTGTGTGTTTGCCTGACTGCATGATTGTTTGGGTGTTGGTGACCCGCCAGGGTAGTTGTGTGGTGGGAGGAAGAAGGCGGGCTTGGCCCTCCGCCTTGGATACGGTGGAGAAGACCAAGAAGGAGACTCTGGGGGAGTAGGAGATAGAGGAAGACAGTGAGCAAGGACGAGAGTGACGGGGGAGCTTACCTGGCTATGGTGGTCTGCATCTTTATCTTCTTGGTTGGCGCTGCACCTGGAAGGCCCCGTTGGGGGTTAGCACCTACAAGGAAGACTCCGGGCCAGTGCTGGGCTTGGCGGCCATAGTAGGAAGGACATAATAGCTTTTGAACATCTGAGCTTTGCTCCAATAGTCCGCCATAGCCACCTGCTCAACCACGTAGGAGGAAGGTGTATGACATGGCTATGGTGGACCCTTTGAGTGTAACGACCCGCCCAAAACACAGACTGAGAACACTGCTGATTTCTGGGATTTGCCAATGGAATGAATGCCTTGCTGTGATTCCCGCATTCTGCTGTGGTCCCAAGTCTGTGTGTGTGCGTGCCTGCTGGTTTGCATGCCTGTCTGAGTGCTTGCCGGATGTGTGTGTGTGCGTGCCTGCTGGGTTGCATGCCTGTCTGAGTGCTTGCTGGTTGGGTATGTGTGTAACCCGCCAGGGTACTTGTTGGTTGCAAGGCCCACCGGGCGGGTACTTACCTGTGGCCGTGACTTTGGAGGATTGCAGGGGGGTAAACATGCCGGTAGCGGGGAGTAGGCCCACGGCACTTAGAACAGCTGGGGAAAAACACTCAAGTAGCAGGTAGGCCGAGCAGAAGAAGACAAAAAGTTGGCATTTTTAGAGGCCCAGTAGCGGTAGGTTAGAGGTAGGCCGGTACCAGTCCAAGTAGCCCGGGTCTAGGGCCTGTGCGGACAATAACAGAGCCTGCAATGATGTTTCCCTCCAAAAGGGAGGAGGTACCGGTTGGTGGGAGGCCGCTTGGCCTAGGAAGTCACCGCCCAGGAGGCCGGTAGGCCGCTATATCTTCAGGAAGAGCGGTGAGCTCTTCCTCATTTGCGGTATGCAAGGATTGGCGACATGCTGCTGGAGCGCAGCGCTGGTCTGAGGCAGCGCTGCTTGGAGGTGAAGGTCTGCTGGGGCTCAGCCTGGCTATGGCGAGCACCCCAGCTTCTGTCTCTTATACACATCTAGATGTGTATAAGAGACAGGCTAGAGGCAGGGTCAGGCATAGCGGACCGAGTCAAGCAGCGACATAGCTGCTTTGGGTTGTCTTTCGGGCATCAGGGCAGCATCATAGCTGCCTTCCAGTAGTCCGCCATGACCTATGCTTGAGAGAGGAGGTTGAAGGAAGGAAGACATAGCCATGGTGGACTTGTTGTTGTTGTTGTTGGGTTGTGAGTTGAGTCAGCAGTAAGGGGGAACTTCGGACATTGATTCTGGTTCATCCATTCATTATTATTATTATTGTTGAGAGAAGAATAAGATTGGTGAAGAGAAGGAGGAAGGAGGAAGGTGGAGAGAGAAGGGGGAATTGTCATTGGTCTTGCTGGTGTACTTCTTCTTCTTCTTCTTCTTCTTTACCTCTCCTCTGGTCTTTATCTCCTGCAAGTGCTTTCATTTCTTTCGCAATTGGGTGGCATTGTCTTTCATTGTGAATTTGCACTTGGGAAATGACCAGGATCGTAACACGAGTGGCTGGCAGTAAGGAGAGGATTCGTACATTGGTTCTGGCTCATTCTTTCATTGTTGTTATTATTATTATTATTATTATTATTATTATTATTATATTACTATTATTATTACTATTATTATTACTATTATTATTATTGTTACAAGCAGACCTGATGCAGCGATGCCGCGCCCTATGCACGGCAGAATGTCAGGATCGGAGCAGGGCTTTGTATTCTCCATACATTCGGCGGCCATGGTTAAAACCGTCCTTGCATAGCTGATCCAAATGTGGCCTGGGACAAGGTTGAGATATCTTCGTGTCAAAACAAAAAACAAAAAACAAAAACAAGATATCATCATGGAACGTATGGAGCTGAGGGCCGGGGGAAACGGTGATCCGTTACAAGGCTCGGACGCCCGGTCGAACTCGTGGGAGGCGAGAAAATCTTCAGAGCGCTCAAGGTTACTTCCGGTAAGCGCAGGAGAAGAGACGACCAGTGGAAGAAAACTAAAAGGTGTGAACCAACACAGGGAGGGAGGAGGTAACGGGGCGAGATGGAGGAAGTCTAACATGAGTGGTGGCACCTCATGCAGATCTTGCACAAGGCGTATCTGTTACACCAGCCTGTTGAAGGAGCGGGGCTGGTCGAACATGTGATTCTAAACGGGGTGTGCATGGCAAAGGCCTACTAACGAGGTTATGAATCTACAGAACACTTATGTCAGGGCACACATGGTAGCGTGTAAACTGCCAAAGGAAGCGAGTAAGGGGGAATGGGGCCGACATATGGAGGAGCTGTGGACGATGGGTAGGGGGCCATGGAGAGGGGATGTTGACCTGGAAGGAGATACGACTGTGGCATATGCAATAAATCGCAGTATCCCAGTGGGACTGTACACTAACTGTGTTTGCTGTTTCCCTGTTTGGGCCTTGCGGGACTTGGATCTCGTGAATTGTACGTTTGGTTTGTTAGCTTTGAGCCCTACTGGGCTTGATCCTTAGACTTGTAGCTAGTAGTCTTTATTTGTCAGTCTTAGACCCTTAGGCCTTGCTGTTTTGTCGTTTTCTCCAGTTTCTGAAGTCAACGCGGGACTTGATCCCGTGACCTGTAGTGTGTTTGTGGTGTTTGACTGTTTTTGAGCTGTATTGGCCTTGAACCTTGAAACCTGTCGCTAGTAGTCCCTACTTCATAGTCTTAGGCCTTTCAGCCTTGTTGTTTTGTCCTTTTCTGCCCTTCCGGAAACTGGTAGGCCCGTAGGTCTTTCTTTTGTGTGTCCTAGCCTTGGGTCCCAGTGGTCTAGGTTTCCATCTCGATGCATGTAGGTAGATCTAGACTGTTTGGCCGTACATGTTTGCTGTTTGGAGG